GCAATGGGCCGGACCAACAGCCGTTCAATGCGTGCCCCGAAGATGGCACAGCCATCGTTGGGTCGCTTCCTCCCAAAGCTGTCATCCCAATACGGTGGCGTAGCAACAGCGGGCTGGCCGTCGTCCGCTATCTTTATTCCAAGTACGCGCACTGCCTGCTTGGACAACGTACCCAAGGCATGCAGCAAACATGCCCAGGGCCCATCGCACCCCTCCAAGCGGAGGGCACCCACCGCAGATTTGGCCTCCACCCAGAGCCGCCCGAGCTGAGAACGTCAGCTGCGCTATGCTTGGCCATTTCAAAAAGCAAGGCACCCAATTGCACGGCCCCCCCTTCTTCGACCGCGCTAAGCCACGCGTAAAGAAGACGCTCTGACGATGGAGCCCAAGGAGCAGAGCTGTGAGCCTTCGAGGGTAGATCCTTTGATTCAATCGTGTTGTAACGCGCCCTCAGGAAGTCATCTGTCGCCGTTCGGCCAGCGTCGTCCATATCTCGAAGGACTTACAGGAGCGCGTCGCCAGTAAACTGGACAGCGTCGTGCGCGACTCGATCCATCAGCTCATCGCGCGACGAGAAATGGCGATCGGAGAGGGATGGGCAAAGCAGGAACAGCGCTGCGCGCGGCTTCAAACCTCTCTTCCTCTTCCGTCTGCGTCGTCAGTCGCGGGGTGTCTTGCCCGCGCGCGCACTCGGCGCGATGCCTCTCTTCGCGTGCTCTAACTCCTCCCTCGAGCAATGATTCCCCGAGAAACTCTTCGGGCACCTGCGCGCCCCTACGTGGCGAAGGCGCCCTGGGCCGAACGCCGTGGGCAAGACGCTGGCGCGCGCGTTGAGAGGGATTAGATCAAAGGATGCGTTCAATTGTGGCGTTCGGTTCAGGCAGCGAAGCTGGGGCCGACAACGCCGCGATGACAGTCACTGGGATTGGGGCGAGGCGCCCCCTGTTCGCCTGGCACTCATTTCTTCGCGCGGCCCCCGTTGATCTGCTGACTCCCCCTCTTCGTCCTCCTGCGACTCCGCGTCGCCCGTCGCAGCATGCAGCGATGCGCAGGCGCGCTTTGCAAAGGCGCGTTCCTCCGCAGTCGGCTCCGCCACTGGCGGGCCCGACTGGTTCTCCACCGGCGAGCGCGGCTGGGCTGTCGGACCTCAGTCTGCGCCCGAATCGCGCCCGGGTGCTTCAGACGTCGGCGGCGAAGGGCTCCCTGGCACGGCCGGGTGCTGCCTTGGCCCTAGGCGGTGGGCTCGGGGGCGTCGGCGGCTACGAATCTCTGTCGCGGGCGCGGGTTTCCTCGGCCTCGGCCGCGTCCGTCAAGGCTTGCGGTGGAGATTGTCGTCGAGGCGCTGTCAGCACCGCTTTCCTCTCCGTCGGAATGCTCAAAGACGCGCTCCCCTCTGGCTCGCGTTCCCGTCGGAGGACGGCCCGAGCGTTCTGCGCACCATCTCTCGTAGATTTTGCGCTCTTCCGCTGCAATCTTGTCGCCGGGGCCCCGAGTTCGCGCGTTCGCCCAATGGGATTACGCCCTCTGGCGCGGCGCGCGCACGTCGATATGGATCGCAGAGGGCGCAATGCAGTGCATCCAGGGAATGCGGTAGCAGGCGCTGCCTTCGCACCGCCGAGCTTTTTTTCCATCTTCGAGCGGCGCTCCGCCGTTTCCCTGGAATCCCCATCTTCCTCCATTCCCCCTGTTTCAGCGAGGGCCTCAACCTCGGCGCGCCGAACAACTCGCCCCCCCCGCCTCCCGGCGCTCTCTTCCGCGCGACGTTCCATTGTGAGCGCGGCTGCGCGGAGCGCTGCAGTCGCGCCCTGATGCTCGGCCCGAGCTGAATCCTCAAAAGCCCACGGGCGTCTACCAACCTCGTTTTCGATCCTCTGCTCTGCCTCGCGCTCGCCGCGCGCAGCGCCGCCGCGGAGCGCCCTGGGCAGCGGCGGGCAGACGAGTGGCCCGGCGCCTTTCAGGGCATGGGTGGCCATTCGCTCATCCACTGCCATTGTAGTTACGCTCGTGCGATTATTCATCTCTCGGTAGCTCCTCGGCATCTCGGCCCCTCTTGGCTGACGACGCAGCGCCAGCTATTCGTTCGTTAACTGTCAAAGTGTCGGGGCGGGAAGCCCCGCCAAGCTAGGCGCGGGCGCTCGGGCAGCGGGCGCCCCGGCCGCCGCGACCTCGGACGCGGCGGCTTCAACTTGGCGCGATGCTCGGGCTGCTCGCGGCGCCGCCCCCCGCGCCGCGCACCCCAGATCTGCGGGCCGCGACGCGCTGAGCTCCATGGCGCAGGGCGCCGCGCCTAACTCGCCGTTTGCTCCTCGCTCTATCACCTGGCTCTTCGCTAATGCATCGCAGACCTCAGCGTCGGCCCGAACGCAGGTCGTGCTCGACTCCATGGCGATGGCCTGTTCCATCTGGCGAGAGTCGCTGACTTCGCTCTGGGCCCGCTGATCAACGCTGCGCTCTCGGCCGACGCGCGCTCGGCGAGATCTGCGGCCGCCCTTTCGTCGGAAAAGGCCTTCTGAACCTCGGCGCTGGCCTCGGATCCCGGAGCGACATTGCGCGCCCCAGCGGCCTCAGAGCTCATCCGCAAGTGCGGCGACGGCAACGCGTTGGCTCTGACCGCCCCCCCGAATGGCGACTGCCGCCCTCCCAGCGACGCCGCGGCCCAGAGCCTGGGCCAGCTTTTCGGCCATCGTCGGAGCCTCGAGCCGCGCAGACATCTCACGTAGCGCCGCGTTGGTCCGTGCGTTCCGTTCCGAGACAAGACGCTGTCTCTCCCCGGCTTGCTTCGCGGCGTGGACGGCAGCAGCGCGATCGCTTTCGGCCTGGGGCCGCGCGGCGGCCCACTGTGGAAGCTCCGCCGCTAGCATATGTTCTCTCGTTCGCGCCGCCCCCCGATCTCGCTCTGTCACCGCGGCCCCCCGTCTCTTCTCCCGGCCCCCCCCCCGCGCGGAGCGACGGAGCGCGGGGCGGCTGCGGGCGGGGGGCGGACGGCGCTCAGGACGCAGGAACAGCACGTCGCAGCGCAAGCAGCTCTCGGAGAAAGCCCCGCAAACTGCCATCTCAAATTGCCCGCGTCTCCCCGGGCGTCGACGTGCAGGGGAATCCGCGCAGTTGGGCCCTTTGTTGAAGCAAGTGTCGTTGATGCGATCAGTCGACGCATTCGAGCGGGCCGTGGGGGCAGACGCAGACGACGCCCCTGACGAAGCCCGCGGGCGCCGTCGACTCTCGGGCCCCCTACCCCTAGCTCTTGGGGGCTGCGCCCTCAGCATGGCGGCCTGGGCGGCGCCCGCCCCGGGTCTGCCCGCGCGCCCCGGCGCTGTCGGGTCGGAGGGCGGGGTGTCAAGGCCGCAGGCGCTGCCCCCGGGGGCGCCCCCTCGCTCGGGGTCGTCCGAGGTGGTTAGAAACGTCATCCTTACTAGTCCGCTGTATCAACGGGGATCTTGTCGACAGGCAGATCGCCGCACTGGGCAACTTGGCCGCGGCCGCCGTTCGCGACGCCGGCGCGTCGCTAGGCGAAGCGAAGAGCGGGTGCAACCACGCGTCTCGCATGGAGTCCGAATCCGACGAAATTTCTCGCACAGGCTTCGGCGACTCCCGAAGGGCACTGGCCTCGGGCCCCCCCCCGGATGGTAGTACTGGGTCGTGGTAGGCATCGAAGGAGGAGTCGACATCATTGGGTCGCCTTCGTTGGGCGATATCGGGATGAGAGCCGCGCCGCCGTCTGCTTCGTCCGCAACGCCCGACGGCCTCGCATGAGGAATGTCATCCCCGGACAAGGGATTCTGTTCATCGCGACTAGTCTCAGAATGCGCGCCTTCGTCGACGTCGGCAGGGTATTCGCCCGCTCTTGGCGTATCCGTCCGTCCCGGTTCGTGGTCAGTGTCAGAGTCTTCTACCGACGCAGAAGTGTTGATGCTGACGTTTGGTGAAGAGCGTAATCCAAGGCCCCCGACGCCGTCGGGGATCAGGAAAACGACCTCGGTCGCATCTTTTGAATCGTGCCCTCGTTCGGGAGTTTCGAACGCATCGTCTTTCACGCCTGAAACACTGCCGCGAGGTCTCATGGAAAAGCGTTCGGCGAACAACCCATGTTTTCCGTATCTATAGTCATATAGGACAAAAGGCTTCTTTAGGTTTGTCGGTTCATTCTGTTAGTGTACATGATCATTGTGTCAGTCTTGTTCTAAGGATGCGGTGAGATCCTGGCGAAGTGATAGGGGGTCCGTTAAACGGATCAGCTGACGCATGCGTTTCTGCGTAAGCCAGCCGGTCGGGAGGAGGCCGGGCGCGCTTTTACATATTAGCATCTAGTGGTTGCGGAATTCGCTCAGTCCCTCCGCGTACAGTCCTAGCCTTGCCGACCCTATATGGTAAAAGACGCGCAAGGCAGCTTAAACAAATGAAGGGAGCGTTAAGAATGACTGGGTGCAAGCGAGCGCAGAATTTTGAAAACGACCCGCCATCAATCCGTGACGAAGATGCGCGGCGCTAGGGCGAAAATCATTTGTTGAGAACTACCCGCCCTCAATCCGTGAAGTTCTTACAATGCTTTACAACGATTGTGCGCGGCGCTAAAAGGAGAACCACATCTTGAAAACGGACCGCCCTCCCATCTGTGAAGCTGTTGCCAACGTCTAAGCTCAAGGGTCATCAGTGGTAGGAAAATATCAGGCGAGACGCCTGGCCCGCCCTTTCGGCCAGCTTCGGGGTGCAACATGGAGGAGTAATGTATACGGAAAAGGATCGGAAGAGGAAGAGAAGGAGGAGGAGGAGAAGGAGGAGGAGGAGGAAAAGGAGGAAGAGGAGGAGGTGAATGAGGGAGGAGGAGGAGAAAAAGGAGGAGGAAGAGGGAAAGGAGGAGGAGGAAGAGGAAGAAGAGGAGGAAGAGGGGGAAGAGGAGGAGGAAAAAAAGGAGGAGGAGGAACAAAAAGGAGGAGGAGGAGGAGGAGGAAAAAAAGGAAGAGGAGGAACGCTCCCCGTCCGGCCGCGAGGCGGCGGGTGGGGGCCTGCGTCGGCTCTGGGGTTGCGGCCCCTGGTCCCGTGAGGCGCTGGAACTCGCCCTGCAGCTCCGCGCCCGCGTCGCACGGGGGCGGGGCGAGGGAATCGCAATCCTGCGGCTTGAGGGTGGCGCGGATGCGAAGAGGAGGAGGAGGAGGAGGAGGAGGAGGAGGAGGAGGAGGAGGAGGAGGAGGTGGACAAGACAAGAGCATTTGGGAACATGGTTCGATGTCTTATAAAGCGAACTGACTCAGCAGGCCGTGGGCATCTGGTTACTCGCATCAACGCTGCTCCGGGCTTTGAGATTGTGAGCGCACGAACACAATCCCACACTCCAAGGTCGGAAGCGCGTCGAAGCAACGCAACTAACTCCCACCTGGAGAAGAAGCAGGAGGAGGAGGAGAAGGAGGAGGAGGAGCAGGAGGAAGAGGAGGAGCAACCACGGAGCTTCGGAATAAACGACGCCGAATGTAGAAACGAAGGCAACTAGCACTTTAGACCCACGAGGGCTGCAGCTCGGACTGTCCTCGGCGGCCCGTTCGGGTGGAGGTATTCGCTCTTCAGAATATGTGTTGAATGTTGTTTCCCCTTGGCTGTGGGGGTGCGCGCACAAAAATATGGTGCCGTGTGTCAGTCGCGGCTGTGCGACCGCACCAGGCTAGGTGAGCTGTCCAAAACCTTGCCCCAGCGCTCTCCGACTGACGAAAGAACCTGTACCGAGCTGGGGGTGGGCTTGGGAGCCCATCGCCTGGGCGGCCCGGGGGAGACGCCCACGATTCACGAACACTTGACAACGTCTGCAATGAAACTCGGCGCCGGCCCGCCGCTACTCGCGCTGAGACGCACCCAGGGCATGTTCTAGCCTGGGCTGCCGAACCGGGGGAGGGGCCGAGGGGGGGGCCGCGGCCCGCGGGTCGGCAGCGATCGAGTCCGCCAGCGCTCGGCGCGCCCGCCTTCTCACCAGGAAGGCCTCCGTGTCGAGGTGGTCCGCGTCGAAGTGGTCGGCCGCGGCCGCCGCTCTGGCAGCCAGCTCGTCTGCGCGCTCATTACCCACCGCCCAAAAGAAATCCCTTTCAGGCCTGATGTCCTGGGCCTCTACGTGCGAGAAGGGGCCCAACAGACTTGGATGGGGTCGGGGCCAAGCTAGGCCTTCCCGATCCTGACCCAAAGATCAGCACTGCCGAACCTGGGCGAAACGGATTTATGCCGACCTCTGGCCCATCCATCCGCTGAAGGCGCATGATCGAAAAGCAACCCACAACGGTCTTCTGGGACGCTCGGAGGCCTCGGCGAAAACCGCGAGATCCGCGCGGAGAACCGTCTGTCTCGCACCAGCGCCGCTGCACGAGATGCCCGCGCAACGTGGGCCCAGTCACCTTCTGAACGGGCCTCCAGAGCCACGACCCCCGAGCCAGCGCGTCGCCTGCGCGGGTCGCCAGAGCGCTGCCCCCCTGGCCCGTCCCCAGAAATCGCGAGGAGTCCGTCTTGGCCCAAGGAGAAATCGTCGAATTCGAAACGGTGGGGAAGGAGGTCGAGGTCGAAGGCGGGGGCGGTCTCACTCCTACTCGGGAGGCCTCGAAGCCAGAACGACGGACTCGCCTCGTGACCGACCGCAGCACTCTGGATGAGATGGCTGGACTCATCGTAAACTGGGTGGCCTACATTGCACTCGCAAGACCATATTCAATGAAAAACGTTTCCCTTTCCCTGCCGCATCTCACGCAAAGCTGGGATTCCAGCTCGAATCCCGCCCCGGCCTGGCGGGCCCTGGTCCACTGGCCGCCAATGGTGACGACCATGCGGAGGGCCCAAGGGTCATCGTCGCCGTCGGTCTCGAAGCGCAAAAGCTCCTGCGCCCGGGGCGCGCCCGCGCCTCGGAGGGCCAAATCGTCTGCGCCTTGATGAAGCGCCGTGCCGGCCCGCGACAGGCTGCCGATGCTCTTTTCGAACTCGTCTAAGATTGCCAAGGAGTCGGCGCGCGCGTCATTGAAGGCGGGGCTCGCGGCAGGTGGGAACCTCCACTCGACGCGCGCCCGTGGGCCACAGGTCGGGGCGCCGGGCGATCCGCCCTGCGTCGATGCGAGTTGCCGCCGCGGCCGCCAGGGGCCCGCGCACCGCCCTCCATACCTTGGCTCCTGCCGTCGGGTGACTAAGGGCAATCTTCGCCCGCGCTCTGGAGATCCTCGGGGCGAGCTCGCGGCGCGCGAGCCAGAAGTCAAGCCGGGCCGCCAGCGGCTGCCGCGGGGCCGTCTGCGCGGGGCGGTCGCGGTCGCAGGCGTCGGCGATCGTCGTGGCGACGCAGCGCCCTGGCCCACTGCCCGCAGCTGCCCGCGCCGCCTGCCTCTCTGTCTGAACAACTCGCGGGGCGGCAGGCCGCGCGCCCGTGTGCCGCGGAGACCCTCGGCCTCGGCGCCAATGCCGCGCCCGCGCGCCGCCCTCTCGAGACGAGCTTGGCGACGCAGGCGACGGGTGGCCCCGGCGCGGCGAGCCGCGCTTTTCACCCTCTGCTTTCCGCGCGCCCCGCGGTGAAAGCGGGCGGGAATGCGGACCGCGCCGAAGTCAGTTAACGAGACCTCCGGCCTGGCGAGGACGCCATTCTGCCTGAGGCACCTGGCCAAGTCCACAGCCATGCGGGCGGCGCTGGCCATCGCTGTCGTCTTCTCCGAGATCGCGAGGCCTGCGTCCTGCGTGCTGTGGCCTACTTCGGCGGCGCTCCCCACCGCGGTCTGCTCCGCGTCGGGGGCGGCGACCTGGGCCAGCGCGACTGCGTCGCCCGCGTGCGTCCGCAGGCCGATGCGAGCCTGCGAGCCTGGTAGTTCCGCTGCGCGCGGTGGAGGGGGTGCCCGGGGGCGCCCTCGCCAGCTGCGCGCCGCGCGGCGACCCCGCCGCGAGGGGTCGCCGCGGGGTGATCTCTCTGCTCGGCCATCCCCCCCTTTGGGAATCGGGGCGCTGGGATCATCTGGGGCCCCATGCGCGACGCCATTGCGGGGGGCATCTGGCCCGGCGAGTGGCGGGCGAGGGCAGGGGCGCCGAAGCTGTCGTAGAACTTGGCAAGGTCTTGCAGCAGCGTCGCGCGGGAGACGCCCAATGTCCTCGCCGTCTCGCCCCGGCAGGACCTCGCAACCGGCGCCTGCGCTGCGGGCGATCCCGCAGTCGCCGCGCCTCAGGACTCGCCCAGCCCCTCGCCCCGCTCAGACGCCACAGCGCCGCGGAGCTTGCTCCGGGTCTTCGCGGTGAAGGGGGGCCGCCCGAGGGCGCCCCCCACCTCTGGCGTCGGGGCCACCGCCGCCCAGGTTGCCAGAGACCTGCCCGGGCTGAGCCGAGGAGCTCCGCCATATCGGCGCAGCCCTCCTCGGGGGGCCGCCGGGCCTCGAGCGGGCCCGGGGCGTCGATGCCCTTCGTCCCCCTCGCGCCGAGGGGCGGGGGGGGCGGTTGTCCAGCTGCTCGAGCGCGATGGGCTCCAGTGCCTCCTCCTGGCTGACGCGGCGGACGAACTCGACGCCGCCCAGGAGCTGGTCGACCGTCGCTGCAGGGTCGTCCCAGACAGCGCCCCACTCATCAACTCGTCGATCCACAATGACAATGCGGTCTGCGAAGACGGTGGACTTGTCGACGTGCCCGCCCTTCGGAATCTGCGTCGCGTCGCCCTGCTTTGAGCGGGGGCCGACCGCCCCGGAATCCGCAAAGCGCCGCCGCGAAATGTTCTTAGAATCCAAAAATGTTCGAATACTAAGAAAACCGTTCTTAGAACACACGCCCGATGCGTGGAAACAGGACAGTCTCAAGCAGAAATGCCATGATAACATTTCGTGCAGACCACAACGGGTTCTTAGAACATGTGTCGGTAGACCTATAGGCAAACCAGGACGCTTCGCCGCTGCTTGACGCGCTTCTGCCTGACGCGCCCATGGAGGAGGGCGTCTCATTGCTGGAGAGACCTCCTCGACTTGGCCAGGCTGGCTCCAATGTCGCGTGAATGGAACCTCTCCGCCCCCTCGCATAGGTCCGGGACGTCGTCGTCGGGCGCTCCTGGAGATGCTTCGCCGCCGCCAGCCAGGGGATCCGCAGGTCGCCCTGGTCCAGCTTGCAGCGGGCGCCCAGGTCCAATTCCTGCGCCGAGCCGAGCGGCTCCTCAAACTTGCCCTCGCACGTGAGCCTCTCTGCCCGGCGCCCCGTCTTCCGTGGTCGGCGCGGCCCCCAGGGCAGCGTGGTCGCGATCGCCCACCGCTCCAGCAGATGGCCCCTGATTTCGGCGCGCGCTTCAGTTGCCTCGGTACGATCTCGGCCTATCTGGTAGCCGTGGGCCCGCCCGACGAAGCGGCGGTCGCCCAGCGTCGCCCGTTCCTCCGCGGCGATCCACTCGCCGAACTCGGTTGGCGCAATGTCCGCGGCGACGCGGTGGCGCCCCAGCAGGCGGCGATCCGTCGCGGGCTCGCTGCTGGGCGCGCCCGTCGCGCTGGCCCTGGCCGCGAATTTTCCGCGGCCGCGTCGAGCGCCGGCGGGGGCGGGGGGGGCCGCCCCCCCCTCGCGCGGGGAATCGGCGCGCGCCCCCCGCCAAGTCTCGGCGGGGGCGGCGAGAAGCGCAGTCTCGAGCGCCTCCTGGACGCCCGCGCCCTCGAAACAGTCGCAGAGCTCGTCGAATGCGTCCTGCAATGCCGTCTCCGATTCAACGCGCCGTCGGTCGCGCGCTGCTCGAATGCCCTGCTGGCGCTCACCGTCGAGGTCGGGCGACTTGGCGCGGCGCGGCGCAGTCGGCAACTCCTCGGCGATAGAGAGCCGCCCGTTCCGCTGGCACCACTTGCCCTCCGCCGGAGGAGGGCGAGCCCGACGCGACCCTTCCGCGGGACCTCCATCGCCGCCTGCACCGCGAAGCGGTCCGCCGCGCCAGCTTTGACCGTCGCGCAGCCCATCAAGCTGCCCTCGCCGCTGTTCCACGCGCAGGCGCGAATGGCGGGGGGTTCTCGCCTCGGAGCTTCTCGAGCCACTTCGAGCCCGCCTCCGTCCTCGCGTCGGGCGGGGTGCTTGAGTCGCCCGGGGTGGCCCGCGGGTGGCTGACCTGCAAGAGGAACGCGCGCGGCCCGGCGATGGCCCGCTACTTCGGGCCCCGGAGCATGCGCGGTGGGAGCAGGCAGGGCGAGGTCGCCGCCAGATTGCCCGGCCGCGGGGCAGAATCCAGCGAGAAGGGCCCTGCACGTTCTCCGCGATGCCGGCGGCTCGCCTGTCCTCGAAGCTCACGGTCTGCATGCGCTTCTGTGCGAGCCCGGTAGGCCCGCTGCAAATCTCTTCGTGGCCCCCACTGCTGGCGTCGCGGCCAGCCCCCGTCCAACTTTGCCGAGCTCTGCTTGGGCCTTCGCGGGTTCTCTGCCTGCCCTGTGGGTCTCCCACATTGCGCTGTTCGGCCTGTCCTCGCGCGAAGCCCCCGGCCCGCCCTCGCGCTGCCGCTGCGGCGGGGGGGGGGGAGGGGGCAGCGCGCGTCATCCCTTGGGCCGATGAAAACATGGTATCCGCCCCGTGTTGCTCGACGAGAAGATCGCGGCCCTGCCCATCTCAGGCGCGCGAAAATCCGGGCGGCCCAGCGCCCGCGCCTCCGCCGCCGGCAAGGCCGACGCCGGGGGCAGGGGCAGCCGCTGCCTCGGGCGCGCCGGCAGGCTGGGGCGCGCTGGCAGCGGCGGCAGAAGCCCCTCCCGACGCGGGGCCCGGCGCGCGCCGCTTCGGCAGCGGCGGCGGGCCCCCTCCCGTCGAGGGGGGGCTTGCGCGCGCCGCTGCGACAGAGTCGGCGAAATTGGTCTGGACCTGCTGCTCGGGCTCGGCATCGGTGCCGTCGAGGCCAGGGGCGGCGAGCGAGACTCCACCTCCTGGAGCGGCAGCTGCCTCCTGCCCCCCATCCCCTCGGGAGTGCGCCGCGGGCGCCTCCGCGTCGGCCATGGCGACGCTGTCCCCCCGCGGCCACTCTGGGTCAACCAGCGTGCGCTTCGGCGGCTTGGATATGAGATCCAAGACCTTGTCCCGCAGCTCCTTGACCTCGGCCCCCCCCCGCGCCCGAGCTGCCGCGACGCCCCGAAGGCCGCGCGGCGGGGGCCCAGCTCTGCGTCCAACTCGGGGCCGAGGTCCTCGATGCCCTCGTCGAAGGGGGCCGTGTCGAATGCAAAGATGATACTATTGCAGCCCACCTGTTTCGCCAAAGAGCGGACTGCCTTCTCATGCCCGATCTTCGCCCGCAGCATCTCCCGCGCTGCCCTGACGCTGGCCCCCTTCGCCTCCGCGAGCTGCGCCTCCGCCCTCGCATGGGCGCCCGCGGCGCGCGACAGCGCGGCCACCTTGTGCTGCAGAAGCTGCGCCGTGGACTGCACGAGCAGCGATGGCGACTGCTGCTTCGGGGGCTCAGGGTTGGGCGCGGTCTTATCCTGGATGGCTGCGATCTCCTCTTCGACCGATGGGCGATGGGCGCGGTAAGTCCGAAGCGCGCGCGATCGACTCTGCCTCCGTCAAGGTGGTCTTGCCTTTCCCCCGGCGGCGACACTAGTCGCTGACCCAGGGCGGGGCGTTGTCAGAGTTGGCGGCCTGGCCACCTCACTTAACGCGTTTCCTGCAATTGAGCTCGATCCTGAAGTTGCAAGCCCACTGCTTGCAAGCAGCCCACCCCGAGACTGGCTTGCGAGCGCTCCCAACACCCATGGCGCTGCTGCGGTGGGGCGAGAAAGGCTTGGACCGACGCACTCTGAGCGTCGGGATCGGGGCCCCGAAACCAACTGGTCAAGCCTCGGTATGGCGGTTTCCGTGCTCTGCCACGGGCAAAAGGCATCTTGAGCCAAAATGGCTACGGATGGAGGGGAGGAGGAGGAGAAGGAGGAAGAGGAGGAGGAGGAGGAGGAG